AAATTTCCCGGAATCGAATGATCGTCTATTTTTTTACTATAACTTGTGAATTGTTAATTCCAAGAGATGTTTGTTGATTTTTTTCTTTCTACAACTCTAAATCTTATTGTAATACACGACTCTATTAAAAGAAAAAGAGCATTAAAAAATGTGTTCATTAGGTAAAATAAAAATTAATTTGTTTTTTTTCTTTTAAAGCAAACGATCAGTTGCTCAACTTGCGAATATTATGTAAGTTAGATTGTCCAACCTCTTGTGGAATAATATTTACTATTATTCATTTAACTTATTAACATTAACAATTCTTATATATTATTAATATAATAAAAGAAACCGTCTACCAGTTTATGTATACCGTCTACCGCTTCTATACCTTAGAACGTCAATGAAAACTATTTAAAATCCTCCTTTATCTATTCGGCCTGTCCACCAGCAGGTCGTGCGTATTATTTGCTTGCGAGGTTCTTCAAAGTATTTTTTACCCATGCGACAATTGACATTAACATTACGGATGTCCTAATCTGCTACGCTAGCGCCATCTGTTATACTTGCTTAGAAGTATGTATCGCGACTGTGTTAAATGTTAAATGTCTACTTGCGTAAACTACAGGTTTCCAAAAAAAGACTAACAGAATTCACGCATATCATTTATTAAATCAGTAGCTATGCTTTCTTCTAGAATCAATTAGTTTAACATTAATTGACAATTAATATAAATTATACTTACATTATGGGTATAAAAATAAAACGTAAAAAATTGCTATCTACACAAATATGTATACTCTAATCAAACTATATTAACGTCCAATGTTAAATGAGTGTTTGTAAATAACTGGTTATATAACAATAATATTTTTAAAAAAAAGCTATGTTTTGTCTAATAAGGTCTTGATCTGTCATACAGGATTATTCACAATGATATAAACATTTCCAAATTTAAATCCACAGAAAAAAAACGTAAACTGTCATAACCGACACACCAATTCCTAATAGCGACAACTTCCATATTAATAACTTCTAGCTATTTGAAATTACAAAAGTTTATTTACTTATTAAGCTATATTAATTAAAAATTTTACATTTATTACATTGTTTACACCCAACCAACGAAATTGAAAAATGGATTCTTTTATAATTCAATTAACTTTGTGCGTTCTTGGAGCAGATTTTTAAGCTGTTCGACAGTTGAAAAGTGATTATTACGAACTACCCTACAAACCCAAGTATGTATAAGGATACAATTTATCAAAAATTGCTTCATGAAAAGCTGCAAGTACACCATATTTTGCTGTCATAAACTAACACAAGTATATTAGATACGTTTTTATAAAATAAAACTAATAAAACTCTTATAAACTCCTTTTTGTGTCAACGTAAATAGATATAGAAAAAAATATTTTTTTAAAGTTTTTCTTACATAGAATGTATGTAATTTATGTTGCATCTGTGTCTAACTAAGGCAGGTTATGAATAAATAAAATAATTAGTAGTATCTGAATTAAAAATCTCTACAAAGACATGTGCGGGACGTGAATCAGCATCCACAGAGACCGTGGTGAGATAGAGGACATTCGAAATTTCAAAACAGATGTGAATCTACTTGCCTTTTAAATAAAAACTTTGAACGGTTTAACACGCGATATATAGTAAAGTTAAAGTAGTTTGAAAATGATTTTATTTTAACTACGGCCCGACGTTTTGGATTAAGGGGTACGGTTTAAAACTGTTAAAGTGATTTATTCAAATGTGTACCTACTGCTCGCGTAACACACAAACAATATTTAATCTACATGCCTGTAAATATTTCGATCAGCGAAACAAACGACAAAGTGTGTCAGAATTTGCTCTCTCGGTTAACAATTCCTATTTATTGAGATGCAATTGGGGTTTAACTGTCAAAGACAATATTCGTCTGTGCCAATGTTTAGCACAAAGTACTTGTGTGAAGTGTTGAGTCGACGCGGTCAATTCGAGTGGTCTAGGCTTGTGCGGTCGTTGGAGTAGTAATATTTACGCTTTGCTTCTATTAATGCACGTTCCACTTTGACAAGCGAACTATATATCTGGATATTATAGTAATAATATAGTTTAAGTCGATTTAAATGCGTATAACTCAAAGCGTTAGAATAATTAGTAAAAAAAATTACTTCTAAATTAAAACACTTTTTATGTGCTGAAAAGAAGAAGAACCTAAACCGGGTTGCAGTTTTAAAGACATTTATATTTTTCTCGTTTTAAGCCGTTAGTAGTGTTCTTTTTTCATTGTAATTTTTGCTGTGATGTTTATCAAAGCTTACGCTGCAACAAATATAATAACAATCTCTTTGGTTTATTTTCTCTATTAATCATAATATACTATGTTTAATTCTCTATAAAATACAATCAGTCTGATTCCAACAATAATATATAATAAATCACTGTTATATCGTATATTTTCTTATTGTATATGAATACATTTATTTCAGTAAAAACTAATCGTTTACAATTTTTAAACAAATTTTATTACCTAAAAGAGGGAGGGAGCCTAACACATTTTTTCATAATTAATATACAATTTAATGAGTAAAGTATTAGCTTATTATAAAAACGAATAAGAATATTTACGTCTACTCAAACAGACATTACACATTTCAAATGCTAGATATTTACAAAATTTACAATTAAGTAAAAAACATGAATAACTTGAAACTATTATTATTAAATCTATATAATTAGCTGATACCTACAATGTGTTTCAATAGGACAATCATGCTAGGACGCGTTTTTTTTTCGATATATCCACAGAGAATAGGCCGACAACGCATCGCGTTTAGATCTTATAAAGCTAGGTATTTTACCTTTATGAAGTGAACCCCATGCTTCTCTGTCATAAAACCAACTGTTTTTATATTCAAATAAAACACGGTTTAACGGTTTAAAACGCGATATATTAGTTAAACTTATTTGAAAATGATTTTTAACTTCGGCCCGGCGTTTCGGATGCTTTTAAGTTTAACTATTTAATCGCGTTTTAAACCGTTAAAATGTTTTATTTAAATGTGTACTACTCGCGTAAACTATAGACATTATCTTTTTTATATTTTTAAACTATACACACGCGGTAAGAGAGATCCCCCAAATGTTGCCAGATTCTATTTAAAATTATTGTGCAACGCAATTTAAAATGCTATATTTTCAGAAGATTTTTACTTGTAAAGATAGCGGTTTGGCTGGCGTCCAAGCCGGAATGCGATTCGACGATATCTGGTGAAGCTAATTTATAAAAAGGCATTGTCTCAAAACAAGATTTTGCGTTGATAGTACTGGAAATTCTATAAATATCCGAGTTGAAATTACATTTTTATGTTTTGAAATTTAAAAAGCGCGATTCTTTGGCGATCGATGTAAATACAATAATCGTTGTAACTTATTAGATTTAATGTTTGTGTCTAAATTATTTCATCAAAAAATAGATTCCTCGATTGATTTAAAAAAAAACATGAGAGTTCAACGTAAGCAGCCCCAAATTCCGATCGCATCTTTTGTGTCATCCCGACGATAATCGTTATATGGATTACATTCTCCAATACCCAGTTTCTGCAAAATAGTTAATAAGAACAGTCATATAATGGACATTTCTTTAAATAAACCACGAATAGTTAAAAACAAATACCTAACAACTACATTTTGTTAATTATGATTTGTGCTGATTTCCTAATGCGAACTTAGTTGATACTTAGCTTTAGTAATTTTAGTATTTAAGTCATGTGTACCTATAATTGTTTATTACATTTAACTTATTATTGTATTTGTATAAAAAAACTGCAGTATGAGTAATGTAATAAATGTTAGTGAAGTTATAAATAAATAATACTTAATCCCTTGGTTGATTCATTGTGTTTTAGACCATAATATCAGTTGATACTTGTTTTTTTAGCAGTCGCAAGTTTTTAAACTCAAACATTAACCATTATCTTTACTACAACGCATGTATAGACCCTAATTAACCGATTTAATATGAAATATGAATAAAAAATCGATTTTAGATTGAAAATTTACGAGACGGGCAAGACTTGAACCGGCGTCAATCCACAGCGTTTCGTGCTGTTGCTCTAACGAATTGAGCTATCGTGTCCTACACGTCATCGTCGATTTTTCAACCTCTCGCGCAATTAAATATTACTTTATTTTTCAATGTATGATGTGAAAAATTGCGTTTTTAATTACTAAACTCATGAATATATAAAAAATACAGGCGTTTCTATCATTCTGTTTAATTTTGTTTCCTTATTTTACTTAGAAATTAACAAAAACATACAGAAAGAAAGTTTGGATGTCTTTGGCAACGATTTGTTTGTGTATCTTTTGGCATAAGTCTTTCCTCGTTCATTATCGTTAAAACTCTGTGTCTCATTTCGTCAAATACTAAATGAAGTATGTTGGAAAGAGACAAAAAATCATGTAGCCATGTGATTAGAAAGAAAAACATCAGATTGAAAAAATATTAGAAGGGCTCGTTGTAGCAATGTAGTGGGTTCGATTCACTGGGTCCAAAATTTTTTAATCAATTTATATTTTTTCTGACACGCTGGGCTTCGTCTGGAAATCTGGATATTAAACGCATGGCAGGATTTTTGAAATTCCGTCCAGATTACGAATTACCGCCAACAGATGAAAAAGCCGTGAAATTTAATCGCGTTTCTGTACCTTACTTTCATAAGAAAAGACTGAGTGAGTGGGAATACCCATTCCAATTTAGGAAGAGAGATTCCTTTATCGTCACAGTTGAAAGGCCACTAGGAACATTTTGCAACACCCCTACAGTTAACATCTTTGTTACGCAGTTAAATTTTACATCTATAACTATACAATTAAACGTGTTATGTATAACTAAGTAACCACCACAATTTAAGCTCCCTGCACAATATACACAGCTACATCTTGAGCGCTTAAATTAATTTATACACTGTCACTTGTTCTTGTCACGTGAAACACGATTCCCACTAAAGACGAGTTAGGCACTAAATAGTCTTCGTCACAATGCTGCTGGGACTGTCTGTGGGGCTCGGGTTGTCTTCTAGACGAATGTTTTTGAGGTCCTGTAACAAAGAAATATATGCACAGATAAATAAAGCTGTTAAAAACAGTTGCATATGGTATGTATGGTATTTCATCTGTCATAAATTGAAGCTGATGCTTGTCTGTTCTCTTCTGTTATAAAAGGATGAAACATCTGTACAAATATTATACGGTTTAACGTTTTGAGAAAGTAAGAGTTTGTTTGTTTGAACGCGCTAAGCTCAAGATCTACTGGTTCGAATTGATTTCTTTTTGTGTTGGTAAGACTTTACCGAGGAAGGCTTTAGGCTATAAGACACTCAGGACTTAAAGGAGCAAAGAAACAATTCATTTGCGGGAAATTTTATTCGTATGTATAATTGTATGGCGTATTATTGTCTGAACGATTTCTTTAATGACAACACCGCATGGCAGTAATATAAATTGCTCCTTAGGTTAGTAAATTCAACAATGTATATATAAGACATGTTAAAAAAAGCCGAGCCGAGTTTATTGGGTATTCTTCTCAGTTATGTTGCTCTATTGAGGTTCACTCTGTAGAATCACGACCAACAGACAGACAAAAAATTTTGACGAATATTTATATTTTTTTAAATTTTAAAGCGAATACAGTATATTTTATTTTATTTTATTGGGAAATGTGGATGAATATTAATTCATCCACATTTCCCATCCATTCATCCATCCATCCATCCATCCATTAGGATTACGCCTAAAATACCCAAAAATATGCATGAATTTAAATTATGCTCTTTAAATTATCAAAAAAATATACTCGAAAGTATATGTCTATCTACTACGAGACCTGAACGATGGGACGGGCCCGACGTGGGTAACAGCTTAAATTTATAAAGATGAAGAGGAGATTCACAAAAAACAAATTTGGATGTTCAAAATAACGATTCAACGCAGACGAAGTCGCTGGCGCAGCTAGTGAATAATAAATTGCAAACTACATTTTTCAATTCTCTGAAACATCCAATGAAATAATTTCCATAACATTAAATACGGGAAGACGATAACGTCTGAAGAAATTGGTTTCAAATTGGACGTTGAGTTAGCCAGTCGTACGTGAAAAGGTTTTCTTTGAAATAGGCGATATTAAAATGTTCTCCAATAGGAAATCAGTTTGTTAGCCATTATTACAATTTCAACCCACTCGAATTACAATTCTTTAGTAATTTAATTTTAAGGAAGGTTTGCGAGGGACAATTTTTTTTTTATGAGTTCAAAAAGCTCATAGAATTAAGTCTTGTCATGTCTTCGCAATTCATCGTAATTTAAATAAATTGCTTTTATCGGTTTAAAACGGGAAATGTATTAGTTAACTTCCTTACAATATATTTTAACCTAAACTAAAGCCTCCCCTAACCACGGTTGCTGCAAAACAACCGAAGCATCGAGGCGTAGTTAAAATGTATTGTAAATTAGTTAACTAATTGTATTAGTTTTGCGTTTTAAACTGTTAAGTGTTTTATACTATTTCATCGTTATAAATGAATAGATTAGATAGATCATGGAGCAAAAATGTTAAGAAATATTACAGACAAAAATCGAACACAATACTCGGCAGCTTTTGCAATAAATTTTAGTTCTAATAGAAAAATTAAAGTGTCCTTATGTAATCGACTTTTTCATGGAAATAAAACCCAAAAATTTGCAGAGCGTAACAAATAAAAACCGTAACATCTCATAAATATTGCAAACCGCTGATTAATCTACTGTAATTTAAAATTGCCCTGTTTTCGGTCACCAATAATGACGTCACGCAATATTCAATCTATATTAATACGATGTGAGCGGCGTATCCAGTTTGATTTATTTGATCACATTTATAGTAAACGATGGATAATTTTAAGCTGATGTCCTAGGTTTGAATACTGGGCGAATTAAAATAATTTAGATCGCGCAATGCACAGAAAACTCAAAAATTACTGGGTGGTGAAAAAAACATTAGGTAAACGAACGCAGACCACAGTCCACCCAGGGCTTATGGCATTTAAGACTGCCGTTTGTATCCTTCTTTAACTCTCAGTCAGGAATTAATAACTAACTAACTAAATTTTAGACAGATTGAGAATAAAATTTCAAGTATTGCTCATTGGGTTTCTAAAGAGACAGTCGTCATTGAGAAATTGTTCTCGACGTTTTGTCATGAAAAGTATAAGACCACCATCAGTGGTCGCGCGTTTTCGAACAAACAAAGACTGTAGCAGCCGAACAGCTCGGAAAGGCAAAGGCCGCGACAGCGTTATACCATTTAGAAATTCGTAGATTCGATCAGAACTGGGTCTTAATAAATTTATAATTTTTCTGAAACATTCTGGGATCACTTCGTCTGGGAATCTGGTTATTAAATGAGTGGTACTATTTAGTCTATGGATTTTCGAACCCAAAGCCAAAGGTTAACAACGCATTTTATTTCACTTTCCATCAAGTAAACCATGTTTGTCCTCCTCTATCATAAAAAAGTCTATTGTCGTAAGTTATCTTTTAATCAGAAAGAATCACTTCAATTCCAAATCCTTAAATAAGATTACGGTACTCACCCTAGATGTAGCCAGCCTTTGGACGACAATCTCAAGTCGATCCCCGGCTGATGCTATCAAGGGTACGGTGAGACAACAGTCGTAGTCCACAGTCCTTGTTCCATTGACCTGGCAAAGAAATTCAATTTAAAATTGACAACATCTCCGCTAAAACACTTTTTCCACACGGTTTCCCCCATGGAGCAAGGGGCGAAACATATATGTGTCCATTTCACTGATCAGTTCTACATACTAATAAACAGGTAAGTAGTTAGTCTGACTTCTGTGCCCTGGTCAAAAAAAACAATCCGTTGTTTCCTTGGATTCGAACCTCTCACAGCAGCTAACCGCTAGGTTAGGTGCCTGTAAATATAATCGATCAGTGAATTAGGTACAGAAATGTGTTGACCCCATGCCCCACGGGGGAAACGGGATGTCACTTATGAGTCATCTACACTTGAACTACAGAGTATTTGTGAATTTAAGTCATATGTTATGAAAATCAGCTATGTCGTTTTGGCTATCATTTTTTTTTCCTTATACCAAATTTTAAAATCTATACCAATATATAAAGCTCAAGAGAGTGTTTGTTAATTTGAACGCACTAATCTTAGGAACTTACTGTATTGAATTGAAAAATTATTTTTGTGTTGGATAGAGTATTTATTGAGAAAAGTTATAAAAAATCGCACTGTGTTTAATAAGAGCGAGCTTACAGCGGGAAATATGAAAAAAATTTATTCATCATTGTGGGTTTCCGATACGTACGCTGCGAAAACGGTTTGAGATGCCCAAAACTTACGTATAAAAGAATAATTTCTCTTTAAATGATCTAAAATATCCGCGTCACTACATGTCTTTCTTTGATTTCAAATTGTAAGAACAACGGCTCCCGATAAAGGTTGTGGGTAACAGAGAGGGTAAGGTTGCAAAAAGAAATGTTGGTGCTCAAAATAACTATAGCGGACGAAGTCGCTGACACAGCTAGGGTGGAATATTGTCAAAACTTAAATATTTCCTAAAACAAGATTCTAATACAGTTATGAAGTATGTCCCCTGGTAAGCTTATCAACCTTTGTGGCACACAAACACTGGAACGAGAGCAGCTGTTAATATATTAAGGTTCAGAGTTCAGACTAGTTTGCATAATATAATACAACGTAATTTCAACCTTAACACAAAAGATTAAGATAGAAAATTACATTGCATGTGTCAATGCACTATAATAAAATAAAACTTAACGGTTTAATACGCGAAGTGTATATAATTTCATAAATAAAAATATATCATAATAAAAATAATTAATTAATTAATTAAGTCTACGCGAGTCGTACATATTTACATAAAACACATATAACGGATTAAAACGCGAAATGTATTAGTTAAGCTGTTTTACAATTCCCCCCGTGATCACGGCTGTTGTGAAGCGTCCGAAACGTCGGGATGAGTTAAAATAAATCGTTAATCAGTTTAACTAATAAATTTCAAGTTTTAAACCGTTAAATGTTTTCCTTAAATAGAGGTATTTAGTGTTAGAAGGAAAAATAAATGAGTTGGGATTAAAATAGTGTTGAAAAGGAAAATGTTCTACTTTCATAGTAGTTATACGTTGAGACCCTTTTCAGGTCATGAAAAAATTTTATTCAGAATCCAAGCCCGATGATCATTGGGAAAAATAATAAAGTAATTCTTGACGTGTTTCAAGCGAGCTGAACTCGTTTACCGTTTATAATATCCATCACTTTATATTTATTAAAACGCGACATATTTCAACGCGACGTTCATTAAAATAAATAATTGCATTCGCCATTTTAATGACATTTCTATACATTTAATACGAATATTGTTGTATAAAAGTTTTTCAATCAATGGCTAGAACCAATTTTCGGTTTGGTGTTTAGATTAAATTTTGTCAACGTCCGTAGTGTGAACCAACGAAGTATGGTCAAGTGGTTAGTGGAATTGAGTGCTGAGCACGAGCTGCTGTTCCTTCATTAATAAGGATTTTCAAATAAAGTTATCATCAGCCTTCAATCTTCGGAGAGCACTATACGCCGTTAATTAAGTGGCATTTGAAGTGCCCACCAACTCGCACTGGAGCAGCGTGGTGGGTCAAAGCTTTAGTATCTTATTTTTCGTGTTTTGCTAAATTGTACCTAATTTTAGTATTCATTATGTTAAAATATAAATATTATTATGTTATTGTTTTGTACTATTGGAGAAATACATAATATTTAGTCATATTAACTATTTAATAATTTTGTTAATTTTTTTTGTGCAATAAAATGTAAATAAATAAATAATAATGTTTGAAAACATTAATATTTTTCACATGTTATTGCACTATATAATTTAAAAATCGAAAATAAATCGGACTCGCTAGCTCAATTGGTAGAGCAACAGTACGGAACGCTGACGATGCCGGTTCAAGTCCTGCCCGAGTCGAAATTTTTTTTAATTTATTTTAGATTTTTAAATAAATAATAATGCCAAATAATTATTAAGTCGATAAAATGTGGTAACTTCGTACCATAACTAAACTATAAAACATTTTTATACGTTAGTCTAAGGACAATCGAAAAAAAATATTTAAAGAATATTTAAAGAAGTACCCTAAGTCTAACAGTATTAAGACATCGTAAACAGCAGGAGAGAAAAAAGTAGGAGTTTTCCTACAAGCTTTATACCTGTAATATTCTATCATAGGGTCGCAGAAGTCCAACGATATCTGCAGGTCCACCTTTCCTTATCCTGTTTATGTACACGCCCCTCTCATACAAGCCGTCCGAAACCGAAAAACCGTAGTCATCATAGATGGCATCTTTGTAAAGGATCACGTGGTGAACGGAACCGCGAGCTGGTGAGAGATTGTCGCTGCTGTAGAGGCCTGTAGAAGAATATACGAAAAAAAAAATTGTTTTACTACCAGCTTCACAAAAACATAAGACCTAATAATAAATATAACAGATAATTGAATCTAAACAGTATAAAAGATTGTGTGCTGCTGTTGGTTGATCTTTCTCAGCTTATATCACTGCTGCTTTGCTGACCTGAAACTGATTTTCAGTAATCCTTAGAGTGTGGACAGCAATGTCACACGCAAGTGAAAATTGGAATAAAAATTCTTTGTTGTAAAAATGAAACTATTATTATATAAATATGAATACTAAACAAAATTTCATTTATCTCAATGCCTTGTCTAAATGATTTTACTCTGCGATAGTGCTTTGACTGTCCGTTTCCCTCCATGGGGCGAACACATTTCTGTAATCGATTCAATAATTTTATTTAAGGCAAGTAGTTGATCAGCCTTCTTTACCATTGACTGTTATTTGATATATAAATAAATCTATTATTTTTTTACATAGTCGCTACTCAGTTGTGTATGTAAAAATTTCATAACTAGTTAATAATTATAATAATCATTAAAAGTTTTAATATTAAGAGATTAAAATGTCATGACTTTTAGATCGATACAAATTTAAATGTGCGAAAGAACATTAATATTTTAAAATAAAATGAATCATAATGGCTTCAATTTATATTAATGGTCATTATTGGAGGTTGTCATATTAAATTTTAAATGAATTTATTTCAGTCGGAAAATACAAGTGTAGTATTTGTGGGTATAATATCAAATTCTGTTTTAAATTATTACTAAAAAATAGAATATGTTTAATATTGTTTTTTTAATACATTGGATCGTGTTTCAGACAAATAATAAATTGATTAGGAACGTATTGCACCCGATGAGGATCGAACCCGTGAACCGTTGATTTATTATTAGCTATACATTGCTACCGTTAGGCCAACGAGTCCGTTAAAATACTGCATTAAACATTTAAATAAAACAATTTAACGGTTTAAAACGAAAAAAATATTACTTATACTTATTTGGGAATTATTTTAACAATGGGCCGACGTTTCTAAAACTTTGCAGCAGCCGTGGTCACCATTTTCAAATAAATTTGACCGATATATATTTTTTTTTATTTAAACAGGGTTTAAACTGTTAAAGTATTGTATTTAAATGTGTACTACTCTCATAAACTACAGACAGTATTTACTGCAGTATAAGTTGTAAATCAGCTAAGTTTAATTAAAATCTTATTATAATCGTTTCTCGAATAACAAACAAATTACCTGGCGCATCGTTCTCATATATAGGACTGTTTGAGAACTGGAAGCTAGAACCAGCTACGTTCGGCTTCATCGGCGACTTTTGGGGAGTCGTGACGGTGTATATACTGTTGTAATCGTCCCAGTTAGGCCGCCTGCTCTTCGGCGACACGATGGTGTACGGGCCCATCTGCACATAGTCACATTTGCACGACGACCTCTCCATATTGTGCAGCTGACAGTCCTTCATATTGGAAGTCAGTATCTCGATTTGCTGGACATCATCTTCCCGGGTGTTCTGCTTGTTCTTCATCACCTCGGGTATGATGCAAGTGTTCTCATAGTGGAACGTCTTCAGGGAATTATTGAGTGAATAATTCGGCAGTGGCAACTCTTGGATGAACGAGTTGAAATTGGACGCCATAAGTTTATCTTCGTCTGTCGGTGAGTACGGTTGCTTATCTATTATTCGGGACTTGTCTGGTACAGCGTATTCTATTACTTCGGAATTGCCTGAAAATTGGATGTATCAATGAAAAATGGTAGTCTCGCAAATTGAACGGTAAATATGAATGATTAATGGGATCAGCTATTGGCGATTTCGTATTGCGATGCTCGAACGATGTTTTATTTAGTGTAGACAACGATTATCGTGAGAATAATTTGGTAGCGACTTCTCGTTTGATGTTCTTTTCTTTTTACTGAACGAACATCTTTTAACAGTGACATTGATTTAAACAAAACACTTTAACGGTTTAAAACGCCATATATATTAGTTAAACTTTTTTTATTTTTTTTAACAACGACCCGACTTTTCGGATGCTTTGCGCAACAGTGTTTTATTTAAATGTGTACTACTCGCGTAAACTACAGACAGTATAAATAATTAAAATTATATTAATCTTAAAATCTCTGAATTTTTCAAGTGTGTAAGCTGTCAAGCTAAATTTAAAATAAAAAAAAGTTGACATAAAACGCCATTAGTTTGAACAGTCTTGGTCTTACAAATGCGTACGACCATATAAAGGTTACATTTCATTAATTTGTCTTATATCCTATAAAAGTAAATATTACTATAATGCAAAAACTAAACAAAATAATTTTTGTGTCTGTCTATCCTTTCAATAAAAATGAATAATATAGAAGACATATACCACAATTAGCACTAGTTCTAACAGGTGTGTTTTGGTCCCAGGATTCAACAGCGCTATCGTTGGAGAGTCCTGGACTAGAAGTGGAATGGCTCGAGTCTCTCGCACTGGATTCGCCGCAGTCTAGGTTACCTAAGTAAAAAAACATGCCAGTCGCAGAGAATTTAAAATGGAACGTAAATTTGGTCTTTAATAAAATCTAAAGCGAATACAAAAGCAATGATAGATATGATTAGGTAGTCTGTTAAGAGTCTAAAATGTATAAAGGCAATTTATTACATAATATGGGTATAAAAAAAGTATCACCCACAAAGCTCTACAAATATAGCGAAAAAGTATTTCATATAACTCCAGTGTCTTAATATAAATTAATTTGTAATACACTAGGTTAAAATTAAATATAGTATGTATATGCTTACTTTGCATTGCCAATTGAGCTCATTTATATAATTTAAAATTGTTTGGATGTTTAAATGCGCAAATCTTAGAAGCAGCTGCGACAAATAGGATTATCGCTATTATATTCCTATTGCTCCAATGAAAGATTTGAAAAGAACGAGGAAAAATTTTCATCTTACGTTGCGTGCCTTGCGAAAACGGTTCAAATAACCAAAATATACGCATGGAAAACGGATTCCTCTCGGTCGAAATTAATACAATATTACCAATTATTTGTTAGAGTTATTAACATAATATTATTAAACTTGCAAAGAAAACAACATTTGTCGTTAAATAAAGTAATGTACAGTATACAAATAAGTTAGCCTTAGTTGAGGACACTCACCAGTGACTTTCCTACACATCTGTAGCTGTATTCTCTGTCCGCTTTGTTGCAGCAGTTTGATCGCTTCTGAAAGTGGTTTATTCAGCACGCTCTCGCCGTTTATACTCAGTAATTCATCGCCGATCGCCAGCTTACCGCATTTCTCTGCTAGACCACCTTCGGAGCAAAACGTTTCTCTTAAAAAATCGTTACATACATTACATTTAATACATAGTAGATGCAATTAAAGGCTCTAGCTAAGCTAATATAAATTGTAAACAAAATAACCTCTTTTGTAGAATAATGCTTATTGAGAAAGCATTTATTGACTTTTGTGTTTCTGTCCATTTTTGGCCTGGAATGGACGCTAGTCAGAATAGACACTTGTTTCAATCAAATCTTTGTTTCCCATTATGAAAGAATAAGTTTTACTTCAAAAAATATATGATCAGCATTATATTTAGAACATGGTATTGTTTTGTTTTTATAGGAAAAATAAAGAGAAGGTAATCGTAAATTACCGATGAGTGAATAATTTGCTAAAAAACGCCAAACATACAACTAAAACTATTTAAACATATGTAGTAACGTACTTAAATAATTAATAACACCACGTTTACAGACATTTAAAGCCCTTTAAAAATAACGGTTTGAAACGCGAAATAAGTTTAACTACTATATTTTGTGTTTTAAACCGATAAAGTACTACTCGCGTAAACTACAGACAACATCTACATCTGTACCTTCAATCAATCCACTAAGTAGAATAGGCTGCGTTACATCTTCACTGCCAGCTATCGTCAAACCGAGAGGTCCGTTATCCTGCCTAATTATTTCCACCATGAAAACAGCTGTCTCATGTCTACCATCTTTAATATTGTTCGGACTGTCTGTATGTCCGGAATCTTCTTCGCTATGTATAACGGCCTTCGTCTCAACACTACTGAAACTTTGTAGCGTCATTTTTGCATTGTGCTTGTGTATGTTCGACCAATCTTCAGTCAAATCGCGTTTTCGAATTTTTAATGTTATTATGTCTTCCGGCGAGTTTTGTAGGATGTTGAAGGCTGTGTCCTAGAAGACAATAAATGAGATATTATAAAAAAATGAAATAACACAACGATTGCGTCACAAAAACGTTACTAGAATGGATCAAGAGTTGAGTAAATTGAATTAAAAAAGAAGAATGTTACCAATGATAAGTTGTGCAGTGGCTGCCCGTTTATTGCAAGAAGCTGGTCTCCTGGTGACAGAGCTCCACTTCGATGAGCTACCGATCCTGGTTTGATGTCAGATATTACCATAGGTTCTTCATTGCTGAGAAGTTTTTGTTTGCATCCTAGACAAACATATTTGTTAAAATGTCAATTGTTACAAAGGTTATCGTTATAGGAAGCAAGCAACAAGCGATTCTAATGTTTATATATAATGTCAATATTAAAGGTCCTAACTAGTAACAAATCTATACGCTATATATATAGTTAATAGTTTGAGATTGTATGTTTTGTTGTGTTAAGATAATAATATTGTACCCATTACGGTTTAAGATAAGATTATTGGTTAATATAAGTTAATTTCAGTCTCTGTTCTTCGTTACAAAAGTAATATCATTATTTACATAATCATTATATCATCTATTTGTTTAAACAACCTCACTTTTAACAATGTAAGGTGCACAGGCAGTGTTTTTCGAAATTCGAATGAAAAAATTTTCGAATCGTAGTTCTGTGTCTACTTTATTCATCATAAGTATGTTAAGTATCGTCTGTAAAACAAAAACTTCATGGAAATGGTTTTTATGATGTAAATCAATATTAAAACGATAAAAATGCTTGGGATTTAGAATCCGCTCTAACAAAAAAGACGCAGTATGTGAAGACTGTAAAATGAAACTCGGCGATAAAAGGAGTGGCGGCGATAATTTTGCCAGTTCACGTTCGTTCTATGCCCTTGATTTGAGAACTGGTAGTAAATGTAAAAGAGTAGTTTTTAAATTGTTTGACGAAAATAAGTGTACCTATTTAAATAAAACACTTTAACGGTTTAAAACGCGATATATTAGTTAAACTTATTTGAAAATTATTTTTAACTTCGGTCCGACGTTTCGGATGCTTTGCAGCAGCCGTGGTCACGGGGAGGCCCGTTAAAGTGTTTTATTTAAATGTGTACTACTCGCGTAAACTATAGACAGTATAAGTGTACCTAATTATTTACGTAAATAAATGATTTCGACTTTGAAATTGACTATGTACCATTCAAGATGGTAAGAAATTTTGCCTATTATAATTAATAAGTTTCTAATCTTAATTTTATATTTATTTGAGGGTAGTCCTTCACTGGCTTATGGTAGTAGATAAATTAATTTCTTCTGAATATGAAATGCACATATTTTACAACTATTCAAACGTTTTAAACTAACAAAACGTTTTATTTAGATGATAGGAATGATGATGATAGGATAGAAGGACAGACAAGCTTCAGTTCACTTATTTGTGGGCGAAATACCTCCAGCCCTACAACATCTAAACATGATGCGCTGTTGCTCTATTTTGGATTTGGATTGTCGGAAATCCATAAAAAGGAAATCGAAACGCGATTAAGTTACACGGCTTAGTCACCTGTGAATGTCGGTTTGTTACCCAGATGGAATTTTTATATTCCTACTTCTTAACATTATAAATTGTTAAGAAATATGTTGGTTCTGGTGGGGATCGAACCATTACACCAACAAGCACGTCAAAATGTTTCATTTTATTTATTTATCATTATATTAGGATTCCAAACCTACCCGTAATAGTAACGCCAAGACCAGCGGTAGTCTTAGCCAGTTTGACAGTGAAAACTCCGCTTGACGCTTCTATAGTATTAGGCATACTGAACTCCACATTCATGGTAAGGTATTTCGGATTGTGCGAGTCGTTTCTTCGTTGAAGTATCTCGTTCGCAACCTCTAAGGTGAGGTTTTCATGGCCGTTGATCGACATCACTCTATCGCGGACTTGGAAGCAGCCGGAGCTGAAAGAAAATTAATACGCGTCGTCAAACACTTTACGGTGTAAAACGCGAAATGCATATGTTAAACTTATAACCAATTATTTTTAACCACGACCCGATATTTTGGATGTTCAGCAGCCCTGGTCACGGGGAGAATAAATATCGATTAGTCAATTCTGTAAGTACCAGTTTCGCCAAATGCAAACTATGACAGAACAGATGGCGTTAGTGTAGCAGTTTTTTTACTTTGCTTTAGAGACTCACACCATCTATCTTTGGTCTCCCCATAACCTCAGATGCTGCAAAGCATCCGATACTTTGGGTCTAGTTAAAAGTAATTTGTAAACCAGTTTAGCTAATATATTTTGCGTTGCGAGAATTCATTTATTTAAAGTGTTCCTAACTTACCGATAAGCGGGCGATTGTGGCGCTACATGAGACACAACTAAAATTGCATTGTCTTCGTTCACTAATAACCCGCTGTTCTGTCCCGGGGGGACCTCCAACTGGATATTCAGAGAGTCGGTTCTGCATACTCCCATGCTCATGTAGTTTTGCTGATTGTCTGAAGTTATAATATTAATCAATACTAATATTATAAATATGACGAAAAAATTTGAACGCGCTAATCTCAGGAACTGCTAGTTTATATTAAAAAAAAAAAAAAAAAGTTTTTGTGTTGCATAAACCAATGATTGAGGAATACTTTAGGCTATATAAAATTACGTCGTGACCGATAGGAGCGAAGACACAGCGAGAAATGTGGAACGGGAAAAGTTATTTGCCTTTGAGGGCTTCTGCTGCGTACACTGTGAAAACGGTTAAAGAATGTAAAAATTTCAGCTAACCACAATAGTATATTTAAAACTTTTTTTTTTAATTTACTATTAAAGAACTTTGTCTGTTATTTATTATAACGTATTTAATATACATATATGCAAACTTATATTACATATGATATCATTATATAAATTGAAAATATTGCGCGAGAGCTGCATGTGTGAATGGGTTGAAGTAATTCGATGATGACATGTAGGACACGGTATTGGTTAGAGCCGCAGCACGAATAGTTGTCTATGCCAGTTTAAGTATCGACGATTCCTTTTTTTAAATCTAAATAGATTTTTAATTTACAGTACATTTTATTGTACCACTTTATTATTTACCAAAAAAGATGCACGTTGCTTAAGCATGCAAATTACATATATATGTGCTGATACATGGTTTGACATTCTGAAGATAAGAAATACTATGTTTAACATTAGCAGATTAGCAGGGAAATATTGTCTTTTAAGATTAATTTACAAAAACCGATTTTATGGCAATCAAATTTTGTCGAAAACATTTCATATGATGCAAAAAAGTTTGCTAACTAAACTAGTAAATCATGTGATTTGATTTGGCTTCACTATGTCCCCAAGATATGGCGTCCTAAGTGTTTCTTTAATAAAACATATCTATCTGTGTATAGTTGTCTATAAGATATTCGATCCTTTACGAAGCCACGTTTAAAAGAATACATAAAAACTATGTTTCATGAAGGTGGCTTGTCCTGAGTAAAAGAAAAGTTTCCACCAAGGAGACCACGAAGCCAGCACACAATAAACCCACCTATAAAGTGAGATTACCGGCCTAAACAAATATTGGAAGCCAAATCTCAAAGCGGCGTTGGGCAGACAAAAATTGTTTGAACAGCGCGTTTTTGCAGCGAACGGTGGCGAAATTGTTATTCTTGGCAATAAATTTCCTAAATTATTCCCCGGTTTTCCTGTTCTTTGTTTAAGCGTATTTTTATTGTGATTTATAGTTGCGTCGTATAGCGCATGATACTAACATTAGGTGCATTTAAAACGTTTTTAGAGAAATATGCGCTGGACAAGTGTAGCGTGCGAGGTTTCGTAATTTTATCAAATGATCTAAAATTGGACTGCGCGGGAGGTGCGCATGTCAATAGGTTGAAAAAATTCAATTGGATTGGATTGGCATATCATTGTCTTTCGGGCTGTTCGGCCGACGTAAGCGACGTGAGCGAGAAATCTAAAATCGATTTTTAATTTACATAGTGCTAACAATGCCAACATGAATTATTTTTCTATTTTTTTCTTGTCTCTTAAATTGTCATCACAGTGATCGCAGCGTAAGCCCTCATAGGTAAAAAAAAATGAATAATTATCCGCTGTTTCTTTCCTCTTATTGGTCGCAACGTGGTGTTACATTACATTACATCTTAAAACATTCCTGGATAAATGGTCTCCCTTACATATAAAAAAATGGTCGATTCAAACCCGTAGTTCCTGAGATTAATGAGTTCAAACAAACAAACAAACTCTTCAGCTTAATAATAGTTTAGGTATAGCCTTCAAAATATCTTTAATAGTAAATTTTTATTATCTTAGTTAAATTATGATCTCTTAATGTTATTTTTTTAAATATTGAATTATTTGTCGCCAGCACTCACCGTAATCATCCTGAACACCTAATTTTGGCATCGAACTCTGTCTATACCTCTGCCTTTGTTTCTTAGGATTCAACGTACCGGATATTGAATTTTCTGTAAGAATACATCCCATAAAATGTCACATCCCTGACGCGAAGATATAATATTGTAATAATATTTGTCCATCAGCTACGATGTGAGTTTAGAAAATTCCTTTCAAGGCAGCGTCGTTGCAACGTAATTTTCAGAAAATTGTCCTTTTCTCTGTCAGAAATTGACAGGGAAAAGGCCGTAGCGAAGTTGATAATTACGAACGAAACAGGGATGGACATGAGCCAAAAAAAACATAATGTCAATGCTTCTCTTTCGGTTTCGCTTGCATTTTTGGTAATTTTTAACGACCTTAACATCGTAGCATACACATATGTCTTAAATATAGTAGGTGTAAATTTTTTTCTTTAACATATATATATTTATGTATTTTTCTTTCGACACAGGAGGATACACAAGCCCAAGGTTCCTTTGATGGAGGGCGAAATATCCCAGTCTATAACATCTCAACGTTGTCGACCTATACGGTTTCAATATTCAGAATTATATAGACTGAAGTCGAAACTTCGCGGCTTTTTAGTTTTTGACACGGGCGGAATTTATTATTTCAGCTGAAAAATTTGGATATTAAATGGGTGGTAAATATACAGCAATACAAAAGGTTGACAGCATCTTGGTTACATGTTATATGGCTTCTCTATAAGTTAAAAAAATCCCCGTCATAAGAACCACTTTCTCGTACTTTTTTCAGGGCAAGCATTACCTCTAGGAAATCTTCCCCCATGCGCCAAGATATGCCGTGGAGCTACATGCAATCTCGTGAAGCCAGGCTCACAATTCTCGAGGTAGCACATAACTTCCTCAGCGGTGTAGGTGTTTCCTTCTATAACATGGTCGTCAAAGGCTAGAAGCTGGTCACCTGGGTGAAGGGCTCCACATCTGTAAGATTAAGTAACTGTAGAATACAGAGTAAACATATTAGAACTGCTTAAAAGTTATTTGGAATTTGAATCATTTAGCCTTTATAATTTGTAAATGTAACATTTTACTTTTTTATAAGTATAAAATATTTTAAAACGTAATAAATTAAAAAAAAAACGGTTAAACTAAATAAAAGTAGAACCTTCGTATTGTCTGTAGAATATATAAAAACGTGCTTAAATAAAATACATTAACCATTTTAAACTCGAAATATTTTAACTTATTTCGTTAGAGGACAAAAATGTCGAGCCGCAGTTAAAATGATTTCTAAATAAGAACTAATATATTTCGCGTATTAAAAGTGTCTTATTTAAAGGTACTGACTTGCAACTCGCATGTGTTTCTTTACATGTGATTTTTTTTAAACATGTGTTTTTTATTAACATGTAAACAAATCTTAAAAATATGAGTGTTTAATTCTCATGTAAAAAAAAATTCGAAAAGCATACGTGAACTAAAAAACATTTCAAAATAGAACATCAAGATACTGTACCTGTCGCTAATACTAGCAGGCAATATACTGTCGATGTAAATGGCGTTGCACGCCCCGACCCTTTGGTACGTGTCCGACCCGGAGCTGTAAACGTCGTCGGAGTACCGCTGATTGCTCAAGAACAGTCCCAAATCCTCGTTACACGGCCTCTCGATCTCGATAAGTAACGGACCGCTGGCTAGCTTCACGGATTCCATAATCGATACGTCATACTCGATGGTCAGGCTCGTCACTTGCGGGCAGTTTTGGAGGATTTGATGGACCTCCGAGAGCGTTTTGTTTGTCAGGGATATCTGGAACAATGTGCTTTCTATTATAATCGCTGACGTGAGATGAAGAAAACAGAATTTACGTACTTAAGATACAAAAAAGAGGCTTAGTAAAACAGTTTTAACCGTTTAAAACGCCTAATTATACTTATATATTAACTTTATGACACGATAGCTCAATTGGATTAAGCAACAGCACAGAACATCTTAAATTACAGACATTTAACATTTATCGAGTAAGGCTTCAGACTATAATACATCACGCCGCTTCAACAAGAGCGAAGAAACAGTGGTTAATGTAAAAAAGGGGGGAAAATATTCATCATTGTAGGCTTTCGTCATGTGCGCTGCGAAAACGGATGAAGATACCCAAAAAATATGTACGAAGGAATGATTCCTCTTTAAACGATCTGAAAAAATGTCTGCGATAGTGTTTGTCTATCTGTTAAGCTTTACTTGAAACGACGGGGAGCAGACGATATCGTAGCGAAACAAGTATAATTTATAAAGAAAACGAGGTTGGCAAAAATATTTTGCCCAAAATAACTTTTCTGCGCGGACGAAATCGCGGACACAGCTAGTATACAAGGCTTTTGCGGTTAGTAATTTAAAATTAATATGAAATAGGTCACCTTTGTAGTCGCTTGACAAGTTCGCTAAATAGCTAATTATGTTGTTAATAATAATATTTACATTCGTTCTAATTAAAGGCTTTTACGCCGAGCCCATTTCACAATAAAAAAGTTACATAAATGTACTTTTTGTAACATAGTGAATAACTTATGAATTAAAAAATAATTTTAATTAATTAATTTAAAACATCACGTATGTTGGTCAAGGCTAATTTATTATATTAGGATGTACTTACTAGTAGTAGACTTTTCAATAAAGCACTTTTGACGGCTTATAATGTGCAATATACTAGATAACTTATATATAAGTTACCGCGGGTGAGGCATCCAAAACTTTGGGTAGTTAAAAGAAATAAGTAATACTCAGCTTTTTAAACCGTTAAAAGTGTTTTATTTAAAAATAGGTATTATCAAAAATGGTATTATGGCACTCGTTTGTGAAATTGATAGTAATAAGCAATCTAGCGAGTTAATTTAAAAGTGTGATTAATGTGTTTTTTTAAACATAAGCAACGGCCGCGTAACAGTTCGTTCGTTTGTTTGATCGCGTTAATCTAAGAAACTACTGGTTCGAATTGAAAAATACTTTTTGCGTTGTCTATAGTATTTATTGAGGAAGGCTCTCCGCTATAACATCCCGCTATGACTAATAGGGGCGAAGAAATATCGTGCACTTTGTAAAATTTCGACGTTTTAAATATAAACGTTAAAAGCGTGTAATGGTTTTTGGTAGTTACACTGCACTGGTAGATTGCAGTGGTGAACACAATATTTTGATATTTTATAAAATCGCGCGTGTAAATAATGTAAGTAAACGTTTTTGACGGGGTCGTTGGTGTCAGCAACTTACGGCAACAGGTTGTGGGTTCGATCTCCACCGAGTCCAACATTTCTCTGATTTAAATTTTTTTTCTGAAACACGCCGGACTTCCTCTGGAAATCTGGATATTAAATGGGTGGTAGGAATATCGTCCACAGATGAAACAGCCGTGAAGTTAAATCGCGTTTCGGTTTCAGTCTGTAGATTTCCGAATATCCAAAGTCTATATAGGTCGTCAGCGCATTTTGTTTAGATGGTATAGGCTGAGGTATTTCACCTACCATCAAGCGAAGCCCATGCTTCTTCTTCTTCGTCTGTCGTCCTCTATCATTTAAAAGAAGCTATAATTATACACAATATGCAACTCACATGATCGACCTTCAACAATCTGTCCCCAGGTTTTATCCTGGAGGTGTTATATGCTGCTCCTCCAGGTCTCACGTGAGTGATCACCAAGGGCTGGACATCCAAGGACCGGCTGTTGAGTACCAAGTCGGCGCTCGGAGCGGAATTTTCTGGGAGACCACCCCGGATTGTAACACCGAGGGAACCACCAATTTTCTCAACAGGCACTTCTGCTAACTTCGTTGTGATGTAGAGGGAATTTTGGGATGCTGCGAAAGAATGCATATAGGATAGAATATAAACGAATTAAGAAAAAAGATCGGAAATAAATTAATTCGTAATTAACGTTTTTGGCTAACATTGAGTATCCGCGTATTCAAAACTTATTATAATTTATGTAAAAAGTTAAAAATTAAAAACGATTTTAGATTGAACACATTTTACGACACGGGTAGGGGACTTGAACCGAGATTCACAGGGTTCCGTGCTTTTGCTGTAATCAAATGAGCTACCGTGTCCTACACGTTATCGTCGAATTTTCCTAACCTGTTGACATATATACATTTCTCGGGAGTTCAAATTTTTCAAACTAAAATCGATTTTTAATGTATATAATGCCATGATGTGCAAAATATTAAAGTTTTCAAATAAAGGAACCTAGTTCTTAAACGTTTTTGTTCTAATAAATTATTTACTTCCGTAAATTTAAGCAAAGCAATACAAATGCCAGATAATGTGATCAAGATTGTCAATTATTATTAACAGTATAGTAACGAATATTAGTAGTGGTACTGCTGATAATATTTGACAATTGACTTGAATTGTATTATTTATGACCTAAATCTCAAAATTATTCATATCGATACTTCTTGTGTATTTATTTAAGAAATATTTTCATTTCTGACTTATAGCTTTACTGATGATAGATAGATAACTTCCCTTTAGAACCAACGGTGAAAATGCCTAAATAAAATCTTTTAACGGTTTAAAACGCGATGTATATTAGTTAAACTATTTTCCCCGTCTACGTGCTCTGCTGCAAAGCATCCAAAACATCGGGCCATTGTTAAAATAATTTCCAAATAAGTTTAACTGATGTGCATCGCGATTTGAACCGTTAAAGTGTTTTATTTATTTGTGTTCTCGCGACTACATACAGTGAAAATGTAAATAAATTGGATTCGGAACTCGAAAATGTTTCATTATCTTGTGCGGAAACGGCGTAGAGTTCAGCGTACCGCAGCGCTCACATAATAATTAACATGGAAAAGTTTGTTCTGAAAAAAATCCACTTTTTCAGCGTGCGGTTGACAACTTGGTCCGTTGTGTTTTTTCTTGAGCTCGCCGCGTTCCCCCAATACTGTATGCACGCTCGCGACAATTTCAACTTTCAGAAGCTGCTTTTTAACTTGCGCTTACGAAGTTCGGATTTTATTGTAAGGCTTCGCAGTGTACTGAGATTCCTTTAATAATGTGGGAACTTCTAATGGAATGTGGGAAATTTAATTAGATTCGCAATGTTTAGAGATAGAAGACACAATCTATTTGTAGTTTATTCCTAATAATAATCTTAACTAAACTAAATATTTTCCACATGAATATGTTACTTCTGTCAATTCAAATGTTGCAGATACTGAATTCTATTAATATTTAATTACTTCTATACACTTGTGCGACAAGGTGATTTAACTAATTCTACAGGTAACTTTAAACAGTTATAATTATGCGCGGACAAATTGCGTTTACTTTTGTTAAATTTTCTTAACACATTCGTAGTACATATTCGAGTAGATACAACGACAGGTTCAATAAGACATTTTTTATTATTAAATGTCAGTTACTTAACAAAAATACACTTTTTTACACAGCAATTTAGTATTTAAATATAAAACATCTTCAACCGTGTAAAACGCGAAATGTAACTTGGCTGCTGCAAAGCATCCCAATGGTCGGGCCGTAGTTAAAATAATTTGCTAATTTAAACTTATTTATTTCGGATTTAAAACCGTTAAAAGTATTTGAAAACTTTAATATTTTTCACCTCATAGCACTATATAAATTAAGAGTAGGTACTACCTATAATTGAGCTAGCAGGTTTGACACGGTAGCTTAACTGGTTGGCGCAACAGCACAGATTGCTGTGGATGCCGGTTCAAGACGTGCACGTGTCGTAATTTATTTTCTATAAACAGTATTTAGCAAATCACTCACCATAATTAGGCATGTAATACTCGACCTCCAGCGACGCCCGTTCCTCCACATTGTCCAGAAGTCTGAGCACCTCCTCGTTGGTGAGCCTCGCCGTGGAGATACCATTGACGCTGCAGATCCTGTCGCCTGGAGCCAGTCGGTCTGATTCGTGGGCAACGGAGTCTTTCGCGAAGCCCACAATTGACGGTATCACCCCGGGTTCTGATCGACCTGTAACAATTGATAAAAATCTTTAGACTTATGAATTACGATTACCTTTTCTGTAATTGACGAAAATAGGCAAGCTCGGAGTTCATTAGATGGTAGGGGAAATACCCCGGTCATATAACATCTAAACAAGATGCACTGTCGACTTATTCTGGCCTTTTATATTTCGAAATCCACAGACTGTAACCGACGCGATTAAACTTGACGGATTAACGATATTCCTACCACCTACTTAATATCCAAATTTTCGGATGAAGTCCAAGATGTTTCGGAAAAATTATAAATTATTAGTTGTTATTTATGTTGGACGCGATGGCGATCGAATTCACGACCGGTTGATTATCCCGCCCGCCGAAGTTTATACCTACATTATACACGTTTAACTGTGTGTCCTATGTCTACGCCTGAAGTTAATCTATTAGTTAAAGGGAAGAGGAATAACATAGGTTTATTTAAGTGTGATAAGCATAATGATTCGTTGCGGTAGCTTATATACATTATTATTTAAAAAAACTAATTTATCGATGGGGGGATAGACGATGGAGGGTGTCCTTAACGTCAAAGCTAAACCTACCCTGGCGTCATCTATTTCGTCGTATTTGCTATTTGGGTTCGGCATTTTAAATCTGTAGACTTTTTAATATAACAAAATATACTAAACTAAGAGTTAAATTCAAAAGTTTATTCTATTTAATAAAAAAAAATATTTACTTCTTGATATTGTTAGTTAGATTAAGTTTTAATTGTAAATGTTGTTACTGAATAAACGTATTCTGTTCTATTCTATTCTAGGCACGAATATGACAAACTAAACAATATGTTTATTGCATCTTTATTTCAGCACTAGTTGTGTCTGCGACTTCCCAAAATGCGGAATTTTGGGCATGAAAATTTATTTAGCAAACCTCATCGACTTTATTTATTAAGCTGTTACCAACGAAGTCGGTCGCGCCCCGTCGTTTTTGCAAGTTAATCTTAAAATAATACTGAATCACTCTTTCACACATATTTTATGGGTATCTCGAACCGTTTTTACAGCGCACGCAATGGAAAACCCTCAAAGATGATATTTACCGCAGCTTCTTCGTTCCTATTAGTCACAGCGCGATGTTTTATAGCCTATAGCCTTCTTCGATAAATGTTCTAGCGGACATAAAAATATTTTTTAATTCGAACCTGTAGTTCCAGAGATTAGCGCGTTCAAACAAACAAACTTCAGCTTTATATATTAGTATAGAAAAGGAAGTAATTTGATTGCATACTATATATGAACCGTCCTGTTCGTAATTTCGTTCGCTATCGTAACAGGTTCTTAAGATTTGGAAGGCGTAACCCGTATTGTAACGTAAAGTTAAACCCTTGTTATCCACATCAAAGAACCGTCGTCATGGCAACGATCAATACATCTACTGTTACTGAGTAGTTGTGAATAATTGATGTGTACACGCACGTATTCTTGTAACTCTATTCACACGTTATTGAGTAGATTATGCATAAACCGTTGGCAGGCGTGTGGCAAATGTAAATCTTGCCACATAAATTAATTCACTAGCCGCCATTTTGTCGAGACTTGCCATAAAGTTCATAATAATTAAAACGCATACTTAAGTATCTTCTTTAGTTTGCACGAGTAGTTTATGTTTAAATAAACATTTAACAGTTTAAAACGCGAAATATTCTAACTTATTTAACTAATGTAATATACGTTAGCTTTGTTTCTGTTTGCTTTCCAACTTCAATGCATTTATTTAACACTGCGCAAAACAATAACATAGCATTATTTGACAGCATGTTATAATGTTTGGTTATAATTTGAAAATTTAACATACGTAAAATATTTCTGAACCAATGCTAATTCGATTCAGAACGCTAAGCTCATACCAGGGATAGATAACATTTAGTATTTTTTTGTGAAGAAGTCATTGTGGTATTTTAAAATCATGTTCACTTGATGGTAGGTGATATACCACAGCCTATAGCATCTAAACAAGAAGGAAATTCACAGTTGAAACCGGAACGAGATTAAACTTCACGGCTTTTCCATCTGAGGACGGTGGTTCGTGACCCGGACGGATCAAAAAAAACATAAATTGAAAAATTAACATGTTGGACACAGTGGGGATCGAACTCGCGACTCGTCGATTATTATCCGTACATTGCTACCATTGCACCAATGAGCCCGTCACAATTTTTTTTCTATATTCTTATCCAAAACAGAAAAGAAGCGACACTGCAAAGACTTTCAATTACTGCAGAAAACTTCTGAGTTTCCGGGTCAAAGCCAAAAATATTTTCGTAAACAAATGTTGATATGTGTAGTGAAGGATGTGTTATTAAAAAGCTAAGGGACCAACCCGTGATATGGGTTAGGCATTTCATATTCATGCTTTTAATAAAACAGAATAAGTTCACTCCGGGAGATATAGTCGACTTATCTTCTATGAATAATTCGCAGATTCGTAAGTGCAACTCTGCAATTTGATGAATACGAAATTATATTATTTCCTTTTGTTATCTGTAATAGGCATGAGGTATAAGAACTCCGAATTATAAGAAAAATACGTCTTAGCAGCCCATACACGATCAATATTATTGTGCAATTTGAATTCCACAATACTTTGACTGCCTCCCTCAGACGCTTCGATGTCGTCTACACACGATCAATTTTATTGTTCAACAATTGCACAACAAAATTGCACAATAATATTGATTGTCTATGGGCCGCTAAGCGGCTAGTAGACTTGCCTTTACTTGAGTTCTAGGTATTTAATGTTCATACGTTCTGAGTTCGAATCTCGGGGAAAAATAGTTTGTTTCAAATAGAGCACAGAAGTCTGATAACTACTTGTCAGTATATGAACGGATGAGTGAAATGGACACAGAAATGAGTTCGCCCCATGCCCCACGGGGGAAAACGGGATTTCATTTATATGTAATTTCACAGTGGCATTGACACTACCACTAATAATAAAACGGCTATAAAAAATTTGCAACATTTCAAATTTTTAAATGTGTAATATTATCCAACATGGAATATTGCTTGAAACAAGACAACCAGAGATGTGAACACAAAAATGCATTCGCCCCTTGCCCCACGAGGGAAATGGGATTTCACTTAGAGCTTTAAATAAATAAGATTCTTACAATTCGATGTTGCTCCTTCTGAGTCCCAACTACATTACAGTTGTATTGTTTTCCTAAGAAGATCAATTTTTCATGATCATGTTGTATAAGTCCAGTTTTTTACCTTTGAATAATGCCATCATGTGAAATAACATGTGAAAACTATTAAAGTTGTGAGATATTAAACTTATCTTCAATGATTTTCTTGAGCTGCAAAGCGTAAGAGGTGCATATATTAATAGGTAGAAAAAATCGGCGATACGTGTAGGACACGCTAGCTCAATTAATTAGTGCAACAGCACAAAACGCTCTGGTTGCCGGTTCAAGTCATGCCCGTGTCGTAAAAGGTTTTCAACACGAAGTCGATTTGAATAAACAAGTTTAAGTTCTAATAAATTTATGTAAACGTCGAAAACAAGCACTAAGCTACATAACCATTGCTTGTCGTACAGCACATAACCAATATTATGACGCCATTAAGCCGGCGTTGGAAGCGAACCAAACTGCGGTTCACGTCGTTTTGACCACGGCGGAGCCATCTAGAGTTTTACTTATGCCATCATTATAAAGGTGACTTTTTATAAGATCCTTATATACCACGTTTAGTAAGTTTCACTTACGATAAAAACATTACGCCAAAGGAAAATCGAAGCTATGTCGCGCGAATATTCGCTTCGCTCGTCGCATCGCAAGTTTACATATAAGACAAATAGCATATAAGTATACAGATGATGCTGCCAGATTTATAGAATTATATTTACCAGTGAATTATTATATCGAACTATTTCCAGAAACAATTTTCTTTAACAAATTTAAAGATGAACTAGGTTTAATTTTAAATTAAGTAGCGTAAAACTTGAACAAAGAACTTTGGCAAAGAACATGATTGTTATTAATTCAAGTATATGTATCTATTTATAATCAGATGTTAGTTATAAAAAGATTTCCTGTACCTGAACTACAAGGCTGATTTAAATTAAATGTTACAAATATACTAAGTACATTTCAAGCCACCTTGTATTTAAAAAAAACTGGCATTGCAGCCTGTAAAGTGCAATATATTTATAGGCCTACATAAAACCCTTTTAACTGTTTAAAACGCACAATATATTGGGTAAACTATTTAAAATGTATTTTGACTACGGCCCGACGTTCGGATGCTTTGCAGCAGGCACCCCCCCCCCCTTTTAACAGTTAAAGATGTTAATATGTTAAACGGTTCCACCGTATTCTCACGGACAACCTGGCGTTAACATTCTATACAATAGATACATTAAAAAACGTGTAGATATCCAAGGAAAGAACGGAATTGTCTACATCGCCAATTAGTTATTATTTTACTTCCCGATAGTTATAAAAACTATCGGAATTATATCACTGGAATTGTCTCATTACGGGCTAACAATAGAACAAAGGAGAGCTTATTTTTACAAAGCGCTTTTATATCTTAGAAATGGGCATCCGACTGTAACCGATGGATGGTATTTATATTGAGTGCAGAGGTCGATTAAAAGATTTACGCGAGTACATGTTTAGATAAAACACATTTAACGGTTTAAAACGAGGAATAATTTAACTTATTTTTTATTTAATTTAACTGTATTCCGACATTCCTTTGCAGCAGCCGCGGTCACGGCGATGCTGAAGATGGGGGATCCCTAAAGTCAAAGTTAAATCTACTGCGTCCTGTAATTCCTGTCTACAATATAGCTAAAGATCCTAAGAATGTTATCTTATATATTTATTTAAAAAATAAAATAACTTCAATAGTTACTTGCAATTTATGGAAACGTTTTTAGTTTTATTTTAAATGTCTTTGCAACAAATTGTTTAAACCCCAAAATGGTATAAGACCCGTTACATCAAATGCAAGCGTCCTG